GGGAAAGAGAAGCTAATTCAAAATCACAGTTTAAATACAAAAACTAGAAAGTAATAAATCTCGAGACTTCCTTCCCATATATGGGTCCCACATTTGCAAAAAGCTTTGAAATTAATTCTTATGCTTTCTTTTCTAATCTGATAAAATCTTGAGAGCATCCAGTAAAGGTTTAATCACTGGCAGATCAAAACTTGATTAATGAAGACTAGCGATACAGGCAAGTATTTGATTGATCTGACTCAGTTATCTCAATTGGTAATGTACACATTCAGGCTAGAGTAAGCTCGTCCTTTTTACAACATTTGAGAAGTAATCTGTTTCAATAGACCTAATCAAAACTTTTTCTCACTTCAACTATCATCAAATGTAAATATGAAAAATACATATGCTTTGGATTCGCCCTAGCTAGAGATTATGCTCAACTAGACATTCTGGATCTGGGCCACACTGAGCATTCCTGTCCCAGCTTTCGGATAATGCCATTTTAAAAATACAGTGAATCACAAAGTATGGCTCTCCATTTGAACTTTAAGAAGGCTTGGAGTGTGTTCAAACATGAAGATACTTTGGTTCATATCCTGTTTCCTTACTGAGGAGCAACAGCATTCAATAGCCTCTGGGATCTCTACAGCAACCGGCACAAGGTTATGATCCTATGGGAAATGAATGTTTGCTCTTCAAATCCCAGAAATGCCATGACATTTACCTCTCTTAGATCTGTGTGAAGAGAAGCTGGACCTGTGTGAAAGCTGTGATATGCTACTAGAGCTCTTCCTCCTGATGGCGGTCTGCTGCTCGGGGAAGTGGACATGTACTGACTCCACCGATGCCGCAAGATTGACAGATTTCAAAGAGGCAGAAGAATCTCTCCTGCCTCCTGTCAGAGAGAGCTCATCATCAGTATCCTCTTTATTACTGGAGCTGTCCCCTTTCTCGTCTTCATCCCATAATCCATGGCACTAGTGGAAAAAGAAGAGAGCATTTCAACCTTGTATTTCTGTCACAGTATTTATTGCAGGCATTGCTAAGCTCAGTCATGTGTTCAGAAGGGGGAAGACAAATTCATTGTGTTGGGATATCACAGAATCATAGAATCACTTAGGTTGGAAAAGACCTTTAAGCCTAACATTGCCAATTCCACCACTAAACCATGTCCCTAAGTGCCACATCTACATGCCTTTTAAATACCTCCAGGGATGGTGACTCGACCACTGCCCTGGGCAGCCTGTTCCAGTGCTTGATAACCCTTTCAGTGAAGAAATTCTTCCTAATATCCAAATAAGTGAGTTTCCACTATCATGACTGAATAAAAAAATTAAAACTAAAAATTAAATATAAAATAAGAAACTACATGAACTCAGATTACCTTTAAAATGGATCTGTGGAAGAACAATGCAAGGAGCTGAACAAGATCATAGTGCACGTAACCCTCTTTCTTCTCAATGCCAATAATATTTGGTGGATGGTAAGGTTTATCTTTTGTGTAATCTACATACTTATTCCAAGGAAAGAAGCCAAACTGGAAGAAGTACTTGATGACAATGGCCACCTGTTCAAAAACACAACACACTTGGGGTGTTTTATAAGCATGGCAGATTTAATAGCCTCGTAACATTAAGAGGGGAGAAATACAACTACTTTGTCAGTTTTATGAGAAGATAAGCAAGCATATTCATTACTAAAGAGGAGTAACAGTTTACATTTCCTCAGTAATAAAGTCAATCAACATTTAGCAAGAGATGATGCTCAGTGGTACATGAGATACCACAAGCAGTGTGTACTGTCTCTTGATTACCAATTACATAGTAGTTGTTTGCAAATGGTCTGTTCTTATGACAACTGCTTTACAGGCCAGGAAGGATATTGCTCATTGCAATGAAGAAAAACACAAACAAGACCTTTTCATACCACAGAAATTGCTGAGGACTTTAGCAAATATTTATATTAATATGAAGGGCCAGAGGCCCCTGATCCTAGAGATCAAAACCAGAAAAGGGACCATGCAAAGCTTGTAACTTAACTTTTCCGTGTTAGACATGGGGTCGCAAAAACAGCAACATACCTCAGTGTAGACAATGGCTGTCATCCAGAAACGTTTGCTTGGACGAGGAACAGACAGCATGGCCCAAAGGAATATAAGGATGGGAAGCACCAGGGTTATCATGGAGGCAGAGATCATGTGGTTAAGGATGATCACAAAATAGCACACCATTTCTGACCGTGCCACCAATGTATTGTACAAGGCATAAATAAGAAGCAAGACTCGAGGCTGACCAACATAGAACTTCTCTGACTCCTCCAGCTCATCATCATGAAACATCCTGTGAGAAGCAGAGTACCATAAATGACATGAAAATTAATTTCACAAGAGCTGTTTTTTAAATTGTTACTATTTCTCCTTTTGAAAAAATATAAAATTCTGCTGCTGAGTTCAATGGGGGAAAAAAAAAGGATGGGATTTGGTATTATAGTCAAATAGCCTGATTCTAAGCTCAGAAAACAAGATTTTCAGGCAAAATAACTACAAGTACTGCTCTGCTGCTTTTAATTTACCTACAGACTCACCCTGGCCCAAGAACTACAAGTGCCACTTTCCTACACTTGCCTGACTGACATATCTCATGCAAATCACACCATGCTGGTGTGGCCCTGTCTGGATTCATATCTAATTTAGCAACACAGATGGGAATTTGGAGAAACTCCAAAGGTCCATCAGGAGATGTATGCTATGAATAGTCCTGTAATATAAGATTAGAAAATAATAAATGCCCTCGAGCATTAGATGTGTCTAATCTTCTCCCCTTTACCTAACTCAAATAAATACAAAAGGCAGCAAGAAATCATTATATGACTTTCACATACATTCGTGATTCTCTTTGCTTTTCATAAAGAGTGCCCTGGCCTGAGAAGAGATCTCACTGGAAAGCAAAAATGACTATGGAAAACCAGAAGAAAAGACACTCATCTACACAGTCACATCTATGCAGCCTCTCCCTCTCCAGATGCAGTCAGGCTGGAAGGCATTCCCATGGTTTAAGATTTTGTCCCTGCATTTGAGGAAGCTGTCCCCGAGCTGAGCCGGGCCAGAAAGTGGAGGAAGAAGAGCAGTGGAACCATCCCCACCTCAATGCCGGTTGTGCTACTGAGCACAGAGTCTGAGGGGCAAACAGGGGAGCATCCTATCCCTCATGGAAGTAAGGTGGTCTCTCTGCACAGCCCTCATCTCCTACTGGCTTAAACAAAAATTCTGCCAAAGGTCAGAGTTTCCCTTGTAGTAATCCAAAATAATTAAAGGAGAAACATTTTCCCAGATAGCCCTGGAGGAAACTTATTTGAAATCACAGCTGCCTGGAGAAGAGACGCCTTCTCCACAAGGAATATTTAGAAAAGCCCTTGACCCCATGACAACTGCAGCACAGAAATCCAATGCTAATTGGAACAATTAAATATGGTATCTGGGGAGAAAGTACAGTTTCTTTCCAACATGAATTTGAATAATTTTAGAAATCTGTAATTAGAACAACGGCACAGGAAATGAGTCTCTTTCCTTAAATCAAAATTAGCGCAAGGTCTGTATCAGAAACTAGGCCAGTTGTGAAACAAAACAACCCAAGTAATGACAAAACTTCACAGACTGAGACCAACAATTTTTCCCTGTTGAAGGTCCTTACTTGTTCAGAAGCAGCTCACTAGCCGTTAGCTCGTGCGTCAATGGAGGGAGGATTGTATCATTACGTTTGTCCATCCGACTGTCGTCTGGGCTCACCATCATGAGGCTCTTATCAGCTGAGTCATCTGGGGAGCCGAAGGGAAGGTGTTCAAAGCTGACAGCTTTGCTATAGGAAGGTGGAGCTTCTGCATTGCTATCCACAGTGGAGTACAATGGCACATCGGTATCAGGGGTATATGCAGCGCCTTCTGAACCTAGGCTATAATCTTCCACCTCCTCTTCCTCCGGCCTTGATGCAGAATGAGCTCCTTCCTCTTCATGCTCCCCTTCTACCTCCTCAATGGTTTCTGTCGTCCCCTGACGAGAACAGAGCATGGTGACCTGCGTAGGTTCACTGTTGGGGATGGACAAAGACAGAGAGTTGAGGCTTACAAGGCTCACCACCAAGCAAAGTTTGTTAATTGTACCTTTATTTAGACAGCTGAGCAACCCCGTTGCATTCCCAAGCCTTCAAAGTTAATATAATCTGATAGGAAATACATCATCATGATCTCCTTATACAGACAGACCATCTGGGTCCATCTGGCCCCGAATGACGTCCCAGTGATTCACTATCTTTTCACGCCAGCAAAGGAAAAATAAGTATCTTCATCAAGAGAAACATCACTAGCTTTCTGAAAGTAGTTCAAATACTTTTTGACCAGAATCAGGACTTGCTATTACATCCATTTAAGCATGCTCCGTGGTGAATGATAGGCAGCGATGGGGTTCCTTCTAAACATGGTGCTTTTAACAACCACCGTATGGGTGCTGTACACAACTGGAACATGAGCTGAGCGCACACATCAACTCTGATTCCAAATAAAAGAACAAGTAAATTACTAACATGGAGAAATACAACCCAGATTACAAAACTGCTCCAGTAACCGGGTATTTTGCTTACCTTTAGATTGCCCTATGCTCTTCAATAGTCTTTATTTTTTACCTTAACTGCCTGCTTTTCTTCTGTATGTACCTGTTTTCTTTTTCAGCTGTTCTTATTCACTCTGTTCAGTTCTCTGCTTGTTCACTCTGCTTATTCCCTGCTTTGCATAGAATCGTAGAATGGTTTGGGTGGGAAGGGACCATAAAGATCACCTAGTTCCAAGCCCCCTGCCGTGGGCAGGGACACCTTCCACCAGACCAGGTTGCTCAAAGCCCCATCCAACCTGGCCTTGAACACTTCCAGGGATGGGGCATCCACAGCTTCTCTGGGCAACCTGTGCCAGTGCCTCACCACCCTCACCATGAAGAATTTCTTCCAAGTATTAATCTAAACCTACCCTCTTCCGGTTTAAAGCCATCGCCCCTCGTCCTATCACTCCATACCCTTGTCAAAAGTCCCTCCCCAGCTTTCTTGTGAGTCCCCTTTAGGCACTGGAAGGTTGCTCTAAGGTCTGCCCAGAGCCTTCTCTTCTCTCAGCCTGTCCTCACAGCAGAGGCGCTCCAGCCCTCGGATCATCTCTGTGGCCTCCTCTGGACTTGCTCCAACAGGTCCATGTCCTTCTTGTGCTGAGGGCCCCAGAGCTGGATGCAGGACTCCATAATAATTTTCTCTCTTAATGCTCTGTGCTCTGCAACAGTCTCAGCTGATGTAAATTCATGCAGCTTGATGACTCCAGATGGGAATCTGGACACCATAATTCTAAAAATTTTTTCTTGGCTTTGCTTTCACCCTTTTCATCCCTCAAAAGAATTTTTTTACCTCTCCCCTGAAACATCACTCTCTCTTTAGTCTGCATTCCAGTCCTTCTCCACAGGTCACACAATAGGCATCAACTCAGTGTCTTTTCTTCGCTGCATGTTCTTTTATCTCAACAGAGACAAAACCAGATTTCATATAGCTCCTATGAAATTAATAGAGCCATGTTTTCACCTGAAGTATAATCTCTTAAAGAAAACTGGCACTGGCAAAGCCAGCTGGCACTACCATCTCCTGCCAAAATTAAAAATTAAGTTTCATCTCTTTTTCCTTACGCTGCTTTCAAACTTATTGTGGCTACCTTAGATCACTTTATTTCTAGCAGACTTTTAATTAGAAGGATGTGTGTTTTGACGATTCATGGTAGCACTCATCCTGGTCAAAATGCACAAAACCATAAAATCCCATTATTTCAAAACTGATTGACATCAAAAATTTGTAAAACACTTTAAACGCTGAAAAAGAAAGATCTAGCATGCCATAAAATTTCATATTTATAGTATGTGTAACACTAGTTGAAAACTAGTTGAAAAATACTGTTTCCTAGTGTCATAAACACCTGGCTTTTACCTGCTAAAAAGTGAGCGAATGGCTCTGAACAGTTCCCTCTTGCACTGGATATTAATATTATTCACTATCTTTTCATAGATATTTTCCCTTTCTTAATTCCAGTACCTCACAGACTGTAAATCAATGGTAAAGTAATCAAAAGATATTTAGTAATCTTTCCTACATGGGGAAAACTAAAAATTGGAAGAGCAGGACCAAAGTTTGCCTATCTTAGTTTCTAAAATTAGACGTCTAAGTCCGTATTTAGGATAACTGATTAGCTGAGAAACTTCACTTCCATCTTCCGATTTTTATAAGAACAACCATCAGCTTGGTAACTCTGAAAATCAGACTCTTTTTTAGCTGAATAAATACAGACTTTAGCCTGGTTTTAGACAGTCAGTGTAATGTAGTGGAACAGCTTTTAAAAATACATGACTTAAGGATGAAAACCAAAACAAAACTAAAAAAAACAAGAGTAAGAAGTGAAACAAACAGCAAATGAGTCCTAGATCATGATCCTGACTTTGAACCTCAGAATCGTGCAACAACACAGAAGGGAGTAAAGCTTCTGTTAACCATGCAAACCACTCTGTACACCACATATCTGCACAAGTAAATTTATGTACACTGCAGTAAGTAGAATGGTATGGGTAAATGAGTGAACAAAGCATGCATGAGTTAAGCACCTTGACACTACACTGCCACTGTCAGCTGACGAGGAGGACATATCCATGCTCTGCATTTTACGAAGCCTAGGTCGAGCGCGCTCACTTGTTTTAGGAACAGTGTCTGGTCCATCTAAATCATCAAGGGTTGACTGCCTTGAGAACAGCATGGTTGCTTCAGTGTAGCAGCTAGCAGCGCAAACAGTTATAAAGACAGTGTTAAATACAAATGATATTACTATACACACGGTTCAGTAAACAAATATGCTCGCCATGCAGCAAAACACTGACACAGAGAAAAAAGGTTCAGAGAGAAGATAAGGACTTGTTTCAAGTCACCATGTAAACACATTTCTAGACACAGATTGCTCATGGTCATATTCATATAGGGGCTACAGAAGGCTAACAACCATCTATTCACTATTCAAAGAGATATGAAACCAACACAGTGCCCTACATACTTTCCAGGGGCACCAAGTTACATATGTGAGGAGGTTTCATTTCCTTTGTTTCCCCTTGAAATTTCCAAATTCCACAAAAACTTTTGGGAACTGACCTCCTCTGTACAAATTCTATTTTATTAATGATATAATGTGCTGAACCCTTTTACACAGGTACAAGCCAATTTCCTGAAAGAGACCTCAAAACTGAATAAGCTCATATTCCACAAATAGAAAAATAGCTGTCAGACATTGGCTAATCCACTTTCCAAACCAAAGAGCCAAATCGGATATGTTATTTAGCCAGTAGATGCATGCCAAATATAACCTGCTCTGTATGGGATGGCTTTTATTCTGATATTTAGTAGTAAGCCCTGACGATTCTTTCCAGAAGATTTCATTTATTTCAATCACAGCTTAAAAACTATTTCAAAATTGGTAACGTGCACATTTTGAAAGAAAGAACAGATATAATAAACCCTTATCTCCTTTCACTTATCAAATGCAACAGGACACCAGAGACATACACCATACATTAAGCATTTATGTGTTACTGGAGAAAAGAAGAACTGGATGAGTTATGAGAAAGAAAGTACATAATTAAATACAAACATATAACATAGCAACAGGAAAGAAGCAAATACATTAACGACATATGGTAAGCAAAAGAATTATTTCTCCTGTAAAAATCTTTGAAAAACACAGATGTCTATGAAGTAAATTGAGGGACCTGGTGTTTTAACACATGCAGTGACCTGCCTGAGTCTTTCGGACAGAATGAGAGAAGAAAGGACCCCAAAACGCAGGATTTACACTCTACTTTTCGTCTTTTGAGTCCATCTGTGTTACACCTGAGCAGCGGCAGCAGGGGATTTGCTTCCTTGGCAAGCGTTATGTTTGTCCAGGGGCACAGAGAACTGGGAAAGAAGTCAGAAGGAAAGTGCAGTGGCATTTTTCGTGTTACTTTGGTCTTGCTAGCTTGAAGTGAGGAAAAAAATCTGGTGGCATAAAGCAACAGTTTGCAATTATTGCCTTAAGGAAAATGGGGAGGAAAACAGCAAAATACGCGGAGCGAAGAAGCAGTTATTCTTAGGCCTACACTCACTGATGGTGTTCTTTGATGGAATGGGCTGAGGCTAAAAGCATACTTTGGTCTTTAAACAGAAGAAAAGTATCACCAAGATACCAAAAGCATTGTGAAATAGTTCCCTTAAGAACAGTATTAAAGGCAGGGGCACCTCTGTCCTGCCAGTTCATTTGGCCAAGACCCTTTGCAAGCCACTTCTTTATTTCTCCGTGTGTGCAAAGGCACACAAGCATCCTCCACACAAAACCCAGAGGGCTGTTGAATGCAGTAGGGTTTTGATGAAGCAGCAAATGCTGCTTCCTATAGGAACAGGAGATCCACCCCAGAGGCCTGATTCAGCAGCAGAGAAATCAGCCGGAGCTCCACGTTACTGACTCCAGGGTTCATGAGGCAGTTTTCCCTTTGCACACACACCTATGGAGTATAGGCGGGCTGTTGTACTATCAGTGAGGTTTTGGTGCTAAAATATAGGGAGATGGCAGCAAACAGACAATCTATTTTTGCAATTACCTTTCTGTCTGTGTGCTACAATGTTATCCACATGTTACTTTACATCTCAAGGGCTGAGTTTATTCTTTTCAAGAGCAACACCTCTTACTAAGGTGTTGAAGTATTTTAAATGCAGACATAGTTCAAAGGGAACCTTCCAAGGGCCTTAAGCAGAGCAGCTGTTGAAATCAAAGTAGCACATGCCCATTCATGTATCTTCAATGGAAGAAACATATGCCAGCCACCCTCCAAAACATGTTAAGTTCTGACCTGGGTCCCAGAAAAATCAAAGGAAAAATATCTATTAATCCCACTAGATAAAAACATTTGCCCAGACAGAGTCCCTGCAATAATTTGTTTTAAAGCTGTTTTAAAAGAAGGATGAATCGTCAGAAGAATTATTGACTGGGCAGCTGCTCTGTATCCTTGCATGTCAGGAGATGTGTGTGAGATGACACCTGTAGCACAGCCTGTATATACTTTACATACTTTAGGAACACGCTTCTGAACATGGAGGAAATGAGAACACCAATAAAGTGGAGAGATTTACACTTGGCAAAGCTCACATTGACTCAGTCATTGACTATCACATAAATGTAATCCAAGCATATCTTCCTGAGTGACTTTTCAAATCTATGTCCTTGGAGATGTTGAAAAGCATTAGCTTCTTGAAATTTCAAGGACTAGGTATTTTAAATTGAATGTTCATTAAAAGCCCTGAGTGCAAGCATTTTATAGAAAGTTGATTTGGTATCCATTTCAAATGGGAATATATATAGCAGAGATATTTTTATCCTCGCTGAGCGGGAAATTTCTTACTTTATGACTTCCTTTTTACCCTTCCCAGACAGTTTATTAGTTTAAGGGGTGACTTACAAATTTTTCAGTTTTTTTTCTGCCCATGGGCTGGTTACTGATTGGCATTACCTTTATGAACTACTACACTCCCCACACCTGCAAGCAAAAATCCCAAACATTTCCTATCATTCACACTCCTAAATCATACCCAGATCCAGCCCCAAACTGGGACTCTCCTTTCATCCTTTCTCCTGTCTCCCAAGGTAAATGGTACTCCTCCAGTACTCCCTGCTCCAAGCCCTATTCTCCCATCTGGTGAGGGAAGCACAGATGAAAAGCAGTGTCTGCAAACACCCTGACCGCACTGGTACGTGCACTCTTACGGGAGGGTCAGGGGCTCCCACCTGCAGATGCTATAAAAACCTACGCACAGGTAGACCTCGGAACTGATTATGTTATTTGTGACAGACAAAAATTAATACAAACTGAAGTGGATACAAAACCTTGGATATCCTGAACTCTGACTTCGGACCTGCATCTAGCTGCTATTTTGTAATTGTAGGCAAAGTCCCATAAAGGCAGCCAACTGGTTTTAGCTCCCAGCCATGTTACTGAAGTTCACAAGCTGTTTAACCTAATAAGCAATTCATCAGCCACATGGAAACAAACAACAGCAAAGGCTCTGCCATCCCTTCCGGTAGTGCCCCTCAAAGGGCTTGTTAAGGCTCAACATCAGTCTCTTCTCCTCCTGGCCCATATGAACTTTGCCTTTAGGATACACGAGTGTATTTATACATACACAGAAATCAAATAATTACATTACGAATACCTCATTACACCTCTAGCTACTGTACAGAAAAATGACAGAGAATAAATCACAGCCCTACTAAAAGAGAAAATCCCACAAAGGATACTCTCAAAACTCCTTTTAGAGCTTTATCTAGGGTAAGGACAACATCCCTGGATATGACTTACAAGGGTCAGCCCTGAATTTCATAATAAATTTACAGTTCCTACAACTGATCAGGAGGGTTGTTCTCCTGGAAAGCCAGTGCTTAAGAGCACTGAGCAGATACCTACAGTAACTCCTGTCCTGAGTACTGAGGAATATGTATTATTATAGTGGAATAGCTTCCGTGCTTCTGTAGCCCTGTGTACTTCCAGACAGGTTCACCTTACTCATGGACCTCATGTCCACTACAGAATTTTGTCTAGGGAAACCAAGGAAGGATAACCAGAATGCTGGTTAGAAACCGTCTGCCCCTTCCCAAAAGTTTTCCACTGCAATCCTAGATCCATGATCACATGGAGGCTTTAGATTTAATTAGTTGCTTTTACAGTAACTGGAAATCATTACTTTGAAATGTAAAATGCACCCTTCTCTTGTTTGGGCAATTCAAAAAAATCACTCAATAAACTCACATGAAGTTTAAAAGATTTCACGTTTCTAAAAAAGGTCATAAGCACTTTCATAATCCCAGGAAGAGACATACAAGGGTGCCCCAATAAACAGCTGGCATTATCATTCAATCAACAAACTTATTTTTGCTTCTTCTAATTACAGGCCATTATTATTATAGTAGAAGTGCACAATCTGTACATACTCTCAGTGCAAGAACATTTGCTTGTTCATTACCAGAAAGAGAATCTGAGATTAGAGAAATCAGTCATAATACTGCCTTTGCTATTCCTTTGTTGATAGGACCTGTGACATCCTCTGAGGAAACGGAGATGACAGTAATAGACGTGAAAGATTTAAATTTTTCTGTTGCAAAGCAGTTCCACAGAATCACTGAATTCTCTGTGTTTGAAAAGAGATTTAAAGTGTGTCAGTATGCTCAAAACAGGGTGACAAACACGTGGTTATTCTGAAGAAAAAAATGTAAAGTAGAGCTCAGCACTGGATATCACCTCATCAAAGAGGCAGAATTTACACATGAAAATGACATGATTTGTCCTTTTTTATAATTAATTTTGGAATTGATTTCCCTTTGCTTCTAGTTAAAGTTCCTGCTAACATGATTGTATAATAATACACCACTTCTATCTTTACTAAACAGTGTGACGAAAAACTATTTAATGAAAGTAGGACTGATATTAATATTCTTTCTTTAGGTGAGACAACTTTATGGAGTTAAATTCTGCCCTGCAGATATCCAAGTGGCTCCAAGCGAGCTGGTAACAGAATTTGGCTTTACATTTTTCTAACATCATCTGACTGCTGTAAACCTTGAGACAAAGCACAGACGTGTTGCTTAGTTGGGTAGCTAGCCACTGAGAAAGACTTGTTAAGATTCGGTGTTTTTACTGGAGTGAACATCTCAAAGGTCACTGCTCACCGTGGGCAGCAACCTGTGAATATTCTGTTGAAGCATAGTACTTACCGGCACTCCCCTACACTTGCTTTTCAGTAACATCAGAAAGGAAGATAAGCCCTTGTTATTTTCAGTCTGCTAACATCTACCCACATGTCATTAGTAATAGCTAAGCATAATTTACTGTACACAGAAGCTACCAAGTTTGCTGGGAGTATCAAACACAGCATGACACTGCCACACTTCAGAGAAGAACAGGAGACAGCAGAATACAATGGATTATGAAACAGTTGGATTTCCAAAGCCCTCCCTTCTCCCCCTCAGGCTGAACAATTTCTGCAGCCTCTTAGAAGTCAAGAACACCAGGGACATGGTGGGAACAGGCTGCCTCTGTGGGAGAAGGAAGGGAGTGTGTGTGCCTCTGTGTATGTGGAGCAGTAGGAGCATGCAGTAGTTTTGGCAAAGGACTTGAGAGCATTCGTCTTCAGAAAAGAATGAGGAAGGTGGTTTGCCTGAAATAGGATGTGCAAACTGTGTAGCTCTGCTGGACCGTAATCATAGCAGTCAGGAAATCAGGCTCTTCAGATGATCTTTGCCCTGTGTGTGCGAGTGGGGGATTCTGTTCTCCCAAACCCAGAACCTCTCTCAATGCAAAGCCTTTTTTGATTTGTGGGCAACAGATAACAATTTATTTTACAAAGACAAAATATTCACAATGAATGATGGTTCTCCAAACTCCAGGCCTGAATTCCTAGAAAAGTGTCCCAGAAGCATCTTCAGCAGGCTCTTATTTTCCATTACTTTTTACAAGATCAAAACCCCTGTCAATGCCTCCTAATTCTATGGGAAACAGAAAGCAGTGGGGTAGTCATGCAGTGGAAAAGGAGTTAAGCCAACACTATAAAGAAATAGTAACATACAGTAGAGTTTTCAGTATTAAAATGGCATGGATAAATAAAAAAGAGGATTCAACATTGATTAGAAAGTTTATCAGTATTTAGACGTTATCTAAAATTACATCTACTGCATGATCCCTCTATCTTTCACAAAATAAAATTAAATCAATACCTGGAGATACTGTCACGAGAAGCTGCTGAATCTAAACTATCCATTCTTTCAGATGCTTGCAAACCAGAAGCTTGACCGGGATTTCTATCAATTGAGTCCAGTCCTGACTCCTTAGAAAGTTTCATCATGTGGTTCTGGTAATACATATGGATGCTCTCCCGCGTTGGAACGTTTCCCTGTGGAAGAGAGTAGAGGTAGAGGCACGTGGCGGGGCTGTGTGTGGGGGTGTGTGGGGGTGTGTGTGTGGGTGTATTCTTTGAGCAACTGGTTTCTTCTGTCTTTTTGCAAGGAACAGATTAAGGACTGTGCCAACAGTTTCCTAGTAAATAGTAACTTCCCACTAGTACTTCGTTTTCAGAGTGCAAGTCTAACTTAAATTACCATGGCACAAAGTGTTGGGTTTTCAAGCAAAACTGGAGCAACGCAAGCGGTTTCAGGCTATATATAGCCAGCAAAACTCTGCTGGGTGGACTGCAGATCATTCAGCATGAAAATGAGGTGTGGGCTGGGACCATGACTCAATCTGTGCTCCCGCAACTTTTGAGAAATCTCTTTTAGATAGCTTCACTGACTCTAAGAACAATCATACACCTTATCAGTGGCCAGTAGCAGTTTTGTTAAACAGAAAAAAACGGGTCACATACAAACTGATCTGGATTTTCATTAATGTCCCAAAATAAGAATTTATTCATGAAGTATGGATACAGTTGGAAACCCATGAAAAATACACTGAAGACTTTACTCTTTCTCTGTGACTTCAAGATCAAGCAAGTTCATGAAAGGATGGTTTTATTAACTGTCAGCCTAGATCTGGGCACAAATCTAAAATTTTCAAAATCTGAAGTTTTGTCCAAAAAAAAAAATCTTAAGAAGAAAATCTGAAACTCAGGTTTTTAATTAGGTTTCTTTGTATACAAGCTGTGTTGTTTCTGCAGTAATAAATGTTTGTGCCATTATGACAGCCTGCCTCTGAAATTATGGCACATGCTACGTCCTAGCTTGACTGCAGGCCTGGGATAAAGGACAAGAGCTGTGACAGCAAAAGTGCCCCACAACTGATGGAGGACTCAATTTCAGGTTGTTCTGTAGCTGAAAGACAAGACCAAAGGAACTTCACACATCAGGTTAACTGTCTCTGACTCCTCATTGGACAAAGAAACATGTCACCATGATGGTTGCAGAGAGAGCTTCCTTTCTTGGGCAGCAATGACAGGCATGGGGCTGCTACAAAGATCTGGGGATGCTATGAAGGAATGGATGATTCTGATGTTCACAGTTACCAGTATTTCACAGAAGAAGAGAGGAAGATCCTAGAAGAAAACCTGAAGTTTAAAGCTATTGACTTGGGGGGAAATTCTTTGAAGGACCCCTAGTACCAGAAGATTTAGGATTGAAGCAGGATATACCAGCCTATACAGGGATATACGGGCACTATTGTAATCCAAAAAGCATCAGGCTGCTGGCAACATGAAATGGACATAAATAAATCAGTCGATCAATCCATCTATTGGGAACAAAGGATAGGAATAACTCAATAAAGCTGAGGTGAGAAGTAGCAAATAAACATCAAAATAAGGTCCCAAATAAGTAATGTCCTTAAAAAGGCAGTTAGCCTGGCTTCTACATAAATGTTAAAACTCTAAAAACTCAGTGGTGGTGAGAAAGAATCATGTGATTTTCAGTGACAATGCTGAAGTATCAGGGACTTCTGTGACCTGGGGCTAAAAAGAGTATCACTACAATGCTGTACTATAAGGATGGAATGAAAGATAGCTTGAAAAAGAGGTGGTACGGGTCAAAAAGCAAAAAATTTAACAAATTAAGTAAATTCACTGTGCTAGGATTATCACACAGCCTCTGGGGGTGGACTTGAACCAATTAGTATTGAAAAAGTATAGTACGAAGGCTTGATTTTTGATCATCAAACCAGGAGTGTGCTAGTGCCTGTTAAATATTAAGGAAGATTACAGAACGCGCCATCAGAGTAACAATGTACAATAACTCAAGTTAATCTTCAAAAGTACTCATGTAGAATAGGCAAACATCATGAAAGAGCCTGCACGCACACACACAAGTCACCAGAATGGAAAAGACCAGGAGGAAGACCATATATCGTGGGAGGAATATAGAGATGCTGTCTGGTTGTGCAGAGATGGGGTCAG